TTTATGTGGTGAAAAGTGAGCTGTATTAACTGAAGTTGTTTCGTTAAGAGAGATTCAAACGTTTAACAGTCGTCAACAGTTGGGGTCCCTCTAGATGTGGGAGATGCTATGACCTACAATCACTACATGAAATGGATATAACTAAGCATTAAGGTCTTTGATAAGTGGTTTGAACAATTGCAATCGAAGTAAAATATGATGCTCCATGGTAACCATTATAGATTGCAGTATATAACAAGAGTATGGCATTCAAATTCATAGGCCCATGGCAAAAGATACTCCATGCCTATGGTACCTTGCTCTATACTTATGGCACTATATACTCCATACCTATGGCACCCTGCTCCATACTTACGGCACTTTATACTCCATACCTATGGTACCCTGCTCTATACTTATAGCACTTTATACTCCATACCTATGGTACCCTGCTCCATACTTATAGCACTTTATACTCTATACCTATGGAACCGAGTGCCATACTTACGGCATGTTGTCTCGTAGGGAACTGCGAATTTGCTCGTGTCTCTATCGTGCCAATATGAATGCTTGAATCATATCTTGTCATTGCTCTACGTTGCCCGCGATATTTGTTTTTGTAGCTCGAGTTTCTTTATCATCTGTGCAATCCTTGACTGAAAAAAGGAAGGTAAAGGTCAAAGATCCAACACAATGCTACTTGGTGTATGTGATATTAAAATAAAAACAAATATTTACTGAACTTTTGGAAGAATATTATTTCAATTATCATTTTCGTCCCCTTGAGCGTTGCTCTTATCTTCATCACTGTCATCATCATCAGCTCACAGCTTTTCAAAATAGATGGTTCTGTCCTTAAAGCCCTGAAGCAATGTATCCATCGAATTGTCGCCGTCATAGACATCGAAGGACGTCTTCCCGTCACGAACAGGAGGAACAATGCCAGTGGGCCATCCAACCATCTTCACGCCCAAACTACGCATCTTCGCGTCATTGAACAAAGACAGCCAAGGAACACATTTGTATTGTCTTCTGCTAACTTCATCTATCCTCAATAAGATTAGCAATCCTATTTATTTAAAGATTATATACTATCACACTTACTGAAGGCTGCAGAGACTGCAATCTGCAAACTTTTCTTCATGTCCGTCTTGGTTCGCTTTCTTACTGGCTCATGACCAGTGGCAGGAGAGGTGATAACAGCGGCATGGGATGTGATAGCAGCAGAGTGAGCAGATGGGCCGCGTAGCTTTGCTGGGATCGGCAATTGCTTAGAGTTGGGAGCGCAATCTGGCACTCTGGAGGCGCTGTTGATGTCCTCTTCATCTTCATCATCGTCACCACTACAATAGCTACGATCATTGTCGTCTCCATTGTCACTCTCATCATAACTGCTGAAAACGCCTTCGGAATCAGCCTCAGCATTTTGATTATCCTCGTTCTCATCGTTCGTGTCAGTATCAGTACCAATGTCATTACCAACAACGTCAACAAAAGCGACATTGACAGCATCAACATCCACATCAGATTCAACAAGAGGAGTCACCTCAGCCTCATCGGCCTCAGCATAACTGTCATCCTGGTCACCAAAAGCCGGCAAATCGATAACCGCAGGCACTGCGGCAGGCAAGACAGGATAATGCAATTGCTTGCGTTTTCTTGTCTGTCTATGAGGAGCGGGAGCAGCCCTTTGTGCTTTAAAAATCGGTTATCAGAAATGATGAGTTTTGCTGTGCCAAATGCATTTTCCAAATCATTTACCTTCAGTAAAACGCACTACAGAGTTGCCCAACACCATTCTTCTCAAACAGCTTACGATTGAGAATGTTGAGAGTTTAGCATTGACAGTATTGACGCATTTCGTTGTCATAGCTATGAATCAATGTGCAATCAATTTTTTTAGACTCTACATTGTACCAGCAAGACGTACAAGAGTACTTACCTGAATTACTATACAAGCCTGGAGGATACAATTCCTCATGCAAAGTATCAGTGTACGTTATCAAAAAAGCATGGGTGTTGTAGTTGGTCATCAAATACTTCAGATTGTTGTTCATTTTCTTCATATCATCTTCAAATTGCTCGCTTCTAGCAAGCAAAGAAGGAATTTCAGCATTGTTTGTGGCGGCTGCAACTGACTCCAACCGCCTTCTTTCATTCTCTCCAAGCACGCGGTACTCGGCTGAAGTCAGTGCGGACAGCTCGCCAAAGGACAATCTCTCCTCCTTAGGCCTAAGCTTGTTCTTGGCAGCCATCTCTGCCATAAATACCGACCATTCAGTGGCTGGAGAGCCTTTCAACATCTCTATCTTGCCGTGGAATTCGTCCAGCTTGTCAATGAACAAGTTGCCACAGACGAATCGGCGAACCTTGTCTTCTGAAAGCCTGTGGCTGTTGTCATCACTGTTCACGAAATCGTCAACCAATTTGTTGACATTGCGGAAGAGCTCTTTTAATGAGCTAGTGGTCTCTTGAGCAGTGGGCAAGTATTCAGGCAATGACATTTTAGTTAATAAAATTAGGAAGAAGGAAGTTTGAATTGCGTTTCATTGGCTCTATTAAATGATCTTTACTGCGTTCTGATACGAATGTTTACAATTGTTCGTCACATTAAATCTAAGGTTTACGGTTCCCCTGATTGAGAATAAAGACTGACGATTGATGACACTGGATTAATTCCACAGGTTGGATCCAATTAAGCAACATCAAAACATATATTCTGCTTATTCATATCATATATGGAAAAAAATTGGTACAGGCCATCACTAATGAAACCACATCCACTGGAAGATCTCATCAATGCTTGCATTTCAAATATCCTAGACACTGATTTATATCAGTGGGACGACATCGCCCCTCACTTGACAATTCATAATGGTCAAATGATGAAGATTCGCGATAATGACATGACTTAATCATAGCTAACTATATATTGCACTGTCCTGAGTATTCTGCCTGAATAATGCGAAAACTCTCGAATCTAATCTTCTTCCATTTGATACAGTCGATCATATTATAAAATTTACATCCCCAAACTAAACCTTTGAAAATCAATATTACCTCGCTATGATTATCAAACAAGGCCAATATATAATCCAGATGGCAGAGCATTAGTCTTACAGCATACAACGCTAAAAGAATCATACAATACTTATCAAAATGTTGTTTGAAAATTGAGTAAATCGTTGGTTCTTCATACGCGCCTTTTTCGTGCCATATTTATGAATTATAAAGAATGGGAGTAAAAGGTATACTAAGCCCCAGGAACTGAGACGTTATTCTAGACCTAATCATAGCATTGTAGAGAGAACAGTGATCTATTCCTGTCGTTAATTTAGAGCCTGTGTAATCTATCCATACATTTTGCAATCTAATAATAAACCTCTCCACAGCCAAATGCTCAAGCTGGATATGAATCATCCTACGCGCAGCAGCGTGTTCCCACCAAAAGACGTTATAACGTATTTTTAGTATGAGGAGCCAACAAACGTAATATGTACAGCAAGTAAAGGCTTTCATTTTGATTATCAGGCTTGCTACGTTATCAAGTGTTGATACCACGTAGACAGACGTTCTTTTAATGGGCTTTTTGGCGGTTTTTACCGCAATGATCGAATCAAGGAAGCGCATGTAGAGGGAGCATTTTGGCCAGAAATCGCAAATAGTGGGCTACAGAATATGAGAGATTTTTATTTTTTATTTTTTTATTTTATTTTTTTTATTTTATTTTATTTTTTTTCCTACTCCAAAGGGAGGCTCGATGTTTTGACGGTAAATTTATATAAAAAAATTTACAAATTTACTGGTTAAAACAACGACAGTGTTGTTTCACATAGGTCGATTTTTGGCCATGTTTTTTTGGTCCCCAAAAAGTTGAGCAATAGTGGCAATAAGTAACTGCCAGATGAGAGCAATTGTTTGGCGCTTTTCCGACGGTATAAAACCGCTTCTAACACGAGAAAACACGGCTCAAATCCATCCAACTTTTGCTGTGTTTTGCCTACTTTTGAGTGGTGAGAGGCATAACAAATATATTGATTGTTGGTATATGATTTGTTTTCATTGATGCAGACGCGGAGCACTCGAAAAGAATCAGATCCGCAGTTACAAAGGAGTTTTGCATGATAGTGTAAGGCTGACAAGCTGGCATTACTAGGAAATTAGATGAAAATTGTAGTATTTTGATGAAGTGGACAAAGACGGTTATCAACACTAGTGTAGGTCGGCTCTCACCAAAGTGTAGAGCCACTCCCAACGTATATTACATTCTGAACAGTCTTTACTATTTAAGAAAATCGGCCATTACATATCGGCAGCTTTGGACCAGCAAATCTGACACTCAACCAGCAGCCGACAACTAGAAAAGCCAAGATTGCAATTCAAACTTGGATCGTACTTATGCAAAGCCACACACATATACATGATACATGAGACAGAGTGTAATCAAGTCTTTCATTTGGTTAATTGTGCATGTATTGAGATGAACTGGAGAAAGTCTTGAAATAAGGCTATCTCAAGTGTACCTGAGTTGGGGTTGAATTTCGAGATTTTTTGATTCTGTAGATGCCGACACTCTCGAATGCAATGTTCTTTCCACTTCACAGCAAGTATTGACTTGGCGCGCATTTTGCACCTTTGCCTTTCAGCTTCGACTGGCTTATATAGGCTTTCTTGATAGCGATCCACAAACTAATCAAGGTACGATCAAAAATGCCACATCTCTTGCCCAATTTGGAGCGTGACATGTAGATTCCAACAAGCAAAACAAAAGTGTGATGGCCTTTTTAGGCTTGTTCCAGGGTATCATCGAATCAAATGCATCAGTTTGGGAGGGTGGAAAAATATCATGCGATAGTCAATGCTTGATTTACTACAAGATTACTTTATTTTAAACTTAGAACAGTGTGTGTGCGTGTGCGTGCATGCGTGTGCGTGCATGCGTGTGTGTATATAAGAAATGAGACAGAATGTGAATATATGTGAAGGTGTGTACAATAAATAAAAGAAAAAAAAAGAATAAATCAGTTGGTATCAATAACCATATCAGAGGCAGAAGGTGAGTAATCTTCAATCTCGCCAATGTCAAAATCATGTACTTCCATGACAGTTTTTCCATCGTCCGAATTCGGTGATCGTTTACGCTGCATCAATACTACTGCCTTTGTGTCTGAAAACTGTATCTTCCAAACTGTCTTGGCCGGTTGTGTAAAGTTACGAATCAATCGACCTTGCTTAATATCCCACAGTTTGATTCTACCATCATTTCCAGCACTGACCATGCGACGGTCATCGAATTGTAAACATGTTACTGAGTTATCATGGGCCGAGATTTGTTGTATACATTCGTAATGTTGAAGATCCCAAACACGCAAACATCCATCTGATCCACCACTGACTAATGTAGAGCCCGATAGCTGAAGCTGCCCGACAAGCGACGTATGTCCATGCAAGGTAGCCAAACATTGTCCCGTCTCAGCTGACCACACTCGAATGTTGGAATCCAAAGAGCCAGTGACAATTTTGTGTCCATCGAAAGCAATTGCGTAGATTTGAGTATAATGGCCAGTGAGTACATGAAGACATCTGCCAGTGCGCAAGTCCCAGACTCTTGCTGTGGAATCATAGGAACCAGACACCACAATGTTGCCACTGATTTCCATACATCGAACACTTGCTTGATGTCCTTGCAATACAAATTTCAATTGACCTCGTTGGATGTCCCATACTCGCATGGTGGTATCTCTCGATCCGGTCACAGCAATTCGTTTATCCTTCATCTTGAGACAGCGTACGGTTGAGTTATGGCCTCGCAATGTATGACGTAAAGTGCCAGTATTTAGGTCCCAAACGCGAACATCCCTGCTCATATGTATTCAGCAAGTGCAATGCGAGAACAATCGGGATTGGGACTTACCTATCGCAACCACCAGTGACGAGAACACGCTCGGGATCATGCTTTTCTCCACCTTTGAACTGCAATGCCCATACACCACCCTCATGGCCCTCCAATGTCCGCACCTTCTCGGCGGTGTTTGTATCAAACACTTCAATTCTATGGTTATCGCAACCAACAACAATGTATTTCTCATCATATTGCAAAGAGGTAACCAAGCCCTCACCAAATCCATCTTCTACAACCTTTACCTTGCCACCATGGGCCCAAGCAGCAGCAATATTGTACTTTCTCTTGAAATATTCTCTGTAGGAAAAGTTTCGGCGTTGGCTCGGTGGTTCCAATAGTTCTCCGCCGCATATGCTAGAGTTACGTCTTCGATATTGGTGCTTCATACAGAGAGATTTCCAGGTAGCTTCGTCCTTGAGCAGCGAGTTCCACAGAGTAGATACAGTAGCAGCCCTGGCCAGCGTCTTCGGGTCGTCGATAAATGTCAGGATGTGGAGCGAGATCTCTATAGGCAGTTCTTTGAGGAAATCGATTTTCAATCTGGGAGCAATCAGGCTGTTGAGATAAGTCAGCTGAGAATTATCGCAACTGTTAATAATTTCATAGAGCAAAAACTGCTTTTGCTGTGGTGGCAGTTGCTGGAATGATTGCTTGAGATGTCTCAGGTGATTTAGTTGATCTTCGCTGAAAGAGAATTCATCTGACAACGAGGGCGATGAATTTTGCGACGTTTTTAGCCTCTGCGATGGCCTGTTGTTGCTGGAAGAGGTTGGCAGCGGAGTACTGCTACTGCCTTGTGATGATGAGCTATTAGTAAAGTTGAAATTGGGTGGTGTTGCAGGTGGAGAAATGTCGTCTGGAGAGCAAATGTCCATGTTGTGAAAATACATGCTGTGAGAGGAAACGAGGTAAAAGAGAGCAAGAGAAACTAAGAAAAGAGACAAGGATAGAAAAAAAAAATAAAAAAAGGTGAAAGAAGAATGGAAAAAAGGATTGGTTGGGTTCAGGCAGCTAAATGTGTGTTTGCTCTGTGTGTTCTCTTGCTTCCTTCACAGAATGTAGTGTGTGGTGATTGAAATAAGCCACAGTACAGTCGTATTGGTGTACATTTAATGGGTCAAAAACTCCTTTAAAATCTTCTATGCTTCAAAAGGCAATTATAAATCAAATTGTCATGTAGACCATCATTAAGGATGTCTGATGTGCAGTGTCTATATATTTAAAGAAATCAGAAAAAAACATGCAACTCCTTGATTTTCTTTTTTTTTTCTCTTTCGCTTTTTATATTTTTCACGTATTCCACTGAATCATGCCAAACCATCCTCCTTTCTTTATTCGAGGTAAATACCACTATATTTGGGAATAAGCATTGGTTAATGCGTGAAACCTCTTCTAACTCCGTATGCTTTCAAGATGAGTCGCAATCTTCTGTGTTCATTGTAGACGATGATTGTAGCACATTGAGTCACCAGTCAGCCAAATCAAACGAATCAACATATCTATCACCAAATGACATTAAAACCAAGTACAGATCGTTCGAGTCAGAGAGATCCATGAGCAGCACTGAAGGCATGTCCAATTGCAGCAGATGTTGGTACCTTGATTTTGTCGTGATCTCTGCTAGGTCCTAACAGCTAATTGATAGTGCCTTCTGATCATATCCACTCTGAGCCAGCATCCAATGCATCCTTCTGGGCTACCCTCAATACCAGATCAAAATACTATCTGCCCATTCTTCAATGGCTGCCACTGTACACAAAGCAAGATTTCTCGCAAGACGTCCTGTCAGGACTATCGCTGTCTGCTCTGTTCATTCCTCAAGCACTATCTTATGCAACTGCACTTTGCAGGATTCCTGCCATTCATGGGTTATATACCGTATCGGTTACAACTTTTATATATGCATGTTTGGGCATGTCTCCGTAAGTGTAAACCATATATACATTGTCATGGGCTATTTGTATTAATACATCATCTCATTTAGCCAACTGTCAGTCGGCCCTGAAGCTACTGTGTCATTAATTACTGGATCGGGCATAGCTCATCAGCAATCATCTGCAAGACATCCATTTGATCCAGAGGCATCTGCTGCAATAGCTAGTTTAACTGCATTCTTCGTTGGTCTATTCACGCTTGCATTAGGCTTGTTGCGCTTTGGTTTTCTAGATAGTCTGATGAGCCGTGCCCTGTTGCGAGGCTTTATCACTGCTGTTGGTGCGGTGGTTCTCGTGCAGCAGTCCATTCTACTATTGGGTTTGGGTGATTTAGCTACGCAAGTAGGCTTGACGCCAGATTCAACCACCATACAGCGTCTCCTATTTCTTGCCTCTTACATCAGTTATTCCGACCCTCTTACTTCGGCATTCTCGGCAGTTGTCTTGTTCATTCTGGCCATTGCACCTCTTCTAAAGGCGCGATACTATGTCATCAGCAGACTACCTGAAGTGCTTTTGGTTGTCGTCTCAAGCATCCTAGTTTGCAGACTGTATGGACTGGATAAAGCTGGACTAGATGTCTTGGGCCAAGTAGGTGGGCCCAGTAGCAGCTTTAATCTACCTCTACCTGTGCCAAGCATGCCCATATTACCAGATCATGCTGACATCAAGGCCATCATTGTCAATGCTGCTATTATCACCATCATTGGCTTTGTCGAATCCATTGCAGCTGCTAAATCGTTCGCAAGAAGACACAACCATTTCGTCAGTGCCAACCGAGAATTAGTCGCATTAGGCATTGGTAACATTATTGGAGGCTTCTTCGGCTCTTTTCCAGCCTTTGGATCAGTAAGTAATTAACATACAAGGAGAAGCTAGATAAAATCGTCCCAGAGGAATGGAATAGGAGGGGACGTGATGTATTCAGGGATAAATTTCTGACTTCTGTAAACTTTACTAGTTTCCTCGAAGTAAGGTTCACGAATCCGTCAAGCCAAAAACTCAAATGTCCGGATTGCTATCGGGTGTCACCTGTCTGATTGTCACTGGATTCTTTCTGCCACAGCTATTCTATCTGCCAACTGCAACCTTAAACAGCATCATCTTCACGGCCGTACTAGCCTTATTACGGGAGCTTCCACATGATTTGAATTTTATGTGGCAAGTTCGTGCATGGAAAGATGTCGCACTGATGGCAACTACATTTCTGACCACCATGTTCTTTTCATTGGAGGTAGGCACTGCTGTCGCTGTCATGTTCAGCTTGATCATTACTGTAAAGCAATCCAGTTACCCTCGCATTACTATTTTGGGTCGGGTCAAGGAAACGTCATATGAATTCAAACCAATTCATGATTCTAAAGAGAAAGTAGAACATCTCAAAGATGTATTAATAGTCAGAATTGAGGAGCCTTTATATTTTGCCAACACGGGTAGATATATGTGCATTTATGAAATAAGAATAATTTGGCTGCTGACACTATACATGCGCACACTAGGTCAATTGAAGGATAGACTTCGAAGATTAGAACAATTTGGTGACATGGCTGTACATCCATCGGAGCAACCTAGAAGAAATCATTTAGCCTTTATTGTTCTTGATATTGGTGGCATGGAGTTTATTGACGCAAGGTATGTAGAGCGTAAGCGTTGGTGTGATTTGCTGCGATTAACACCGTACATACATGTAAAGTGCTGTACAGATTTTGTATGAGATCATTGCATCTTATCATGAGCAGCGTGTTCAAGTGCTGCTTGTTAACGGACATCCGAATGCTATGCCTCTGATCAGCCGTGCTGGTATATTGGAGCTCATCGGATCTAATCTTTTATTTGAAAATGTCACTGATGCTATTCAGTCAATAGAGCAGGACATCCAGTACACATCTTTTCCCAATAGCCACATGCTAGGAGAGAGCAGTTCTTCCTATTCCTCGACCTAACTCAATTATTGCGCCTTAATGAATAAATGCAAGCATCTCCGCATGTAAATCTAGGCTTCACAGATAAAACTCTCTCTAACAAAATCATGCAAAATGAATATGGACCGAACCTAATTTAAAAGTTGTGTAAAAACGTCATCATTATAGATCAAGTCATAGTGTTTATGCTACTACATCTGATGTGTTGATGAAGTTTCAAATATAACTACAATTTCTTACCTGAGTCTTTTGCTGTATCATGTTTTATAAGGATACATCATAGATGACATGATTTGCACTTATTTGTTGATGTAATTTGAAGTCGTTCCCGACTAAAAAGAACATGCTGGATGACGCTTGCGATAGATTATAGTACACATTGTAAAGTCAAAATAGAAATCTGTACTTTTATCGACTCCATTTGTATTTAAGCGGGAGAGTACAGCGCATTCGGTGCTACATTGTATGTAAATTGCTGCTGGCTCCTCATTGACCTAATAAATCATAGCAGAATCTGGCTATTTTACACGCGAGCTAGAGTTTCTGTGAAGGAATGCACCTTCGATGGAGTGTAACTTCTAATAAACGTCCACTAGTACTCGGTAATTGAAGCGAGCTTTTTTTTTTTATGTAGGTATAAACAAAGATTTGCTAGTAGAAATGAACTTATTGGGTTCAAGGAGGATGGAACGGATCTCAAGTATTTAGGGATTTGCAATGGATCTATTTTTGGTTGGTGCTACTTGTATACAAATGAATTGCATCCTCCTTACGCGTTCCAAATCCTCTTTTACGACGTATATCTGATGCCCAACTTGCTTAGAAGTTTATTCAATTTTCATTTAAGCACAAGCTTATGCTTTCTGGAATTGCATTCTTGTCTTTGATCTGACACAAGATCAACATTTTGATTCGTATCACAACAGTATCAAAATAACTCCCTTTTAAAAGAGGAAGTCCATGTCCCGATAAGATAAGACTGGAGAAAAGGGAAAAGTTTTCCAGTCTCTTTCTCCCCTTCTTCACATCCTTTATTACCATGAAACAGTCGCCTGATATTGAGCAAGCCAATCCAAACAGAAGATTGTCTCACCGAAGCTCCCTTTTTACAGTAGCACACGAAGCGTTACCTCCTCCAGTTCACTTTGAATCGCATCGTATCAGTGATGAACAGCTCAAAAACTGTTCAAATAAAAGAGTCCGAAAGTTCTACGAAGTAAATAGACTATGAGCACATCATTAACCTCCCCTCTTGAGCAGCTGTATTCAACACGTCTCTCTTCTAGCATCAAAATTCAATGATTTCTCGCTTTGTGCAAGTGGATCGAGTAGTCAATTCTTTGCAAAAGGGGGAATCTCCTTCAAACGACTACTACGGAAGCCTTGGAGGAGATGAAGAAAGAGGTTTTCAGGATGAGAATGGTAACACAATACCGCTTGATGTTGGGGCAGGAGAACACCAGCCTCTAATATCGAGCAGATCAAGCACGCCTGATATAGAATCGACAAAGTCTCCCATGTGGATCATCCATCTAGCCATCAACTTGTCATTCTTTGCCAACATTACATTGTTTGTGACAAAGATCATCTTGGCCTGGTATTCTGGATCTATGGCCCTGTTGGCCTCTGCATTTGAGAGCTTTTTGGATATTGTCAGTAATGCCATCATCTTTTTTACAGTGCGTATCATCCGCCAAAAGAACTATTATACCTATCCCGTTGGTAAATCTCGTATGGAGCCACTGGGTATCATTGTATTTGCTGTGGTCATTACCACTTCATTCTCTCAAGTGCTTATCACTTCAATTGAGAAGTTGACAACCGGAACTGCCCCTGAACAGATTGATCTGAGTATGTCTGCTCTGATCATTCTGGGCGTCAATGTGGTAGTAAAAGCATTGCTGTGGTTCTGGTGCACTACCATCAAGGGAAGCTCGAGTGTGGAGGCATTAGCTTATGATCATGAAAACGATGTGGTATTTACTATAGCGAGTACTCTGTTTCCTCTGGTGGGCAACTATATGGGATGGAACTGGCTTGATCCTGTGGGTGCTATTTTACTGTCTATCTACATCATCTACGAGTGGATGGCTGTGTTGATCGAAAACATCAGAAGATTAACAGGCCAAGCAGCAAGTGCAGATGATATCAAGCAATTGACCTACATGGCCTACAGATTCTCAAAAAAAATCACAGCTGTCGACACTGTAAGTTGGTTTTTGGGTAGCATTGAGTGTACTCTAACTGACCCACTTGGGCGTAGGTTCGTGCTTATACCATGGGTGAACGTCTTTTGGTCGAAGTGGATATCATCCTCCCACCTGACTGTCCCCTCAAGGAGGCTCATGATGTAGGAGAAGCCTTGCAAGACGCATTAGAGTTATTAGAAAATGTAGAAAGAGCCTTTGTTCATTTGGATTATAATGCTGAACATCCCATTGAACACAGAAGAGTGGTGGATGATGTGGGATTTAATACATAAATATATATCTGATATGCACTGAATTTTGTCCTTTATTGTATGAATGTAAATCTATTTCTTGCTTAAATACTTTTGGCACTTCTTTTTTAATTGTGCTGCTGTTTGCTGGTATACGTTGAGTTCTTTATCCCAAAACATAGCCTTGTAATCCTCGCCATGCTTGTTGATCAACTTCTGGATCCAGTCTGTCTCAAATTCTGATTGATGCTTTTCGCGGTGGAAGGCGTTGGCGGCTTGTGCTTCAAGTGCTCTCACAACGTCAGTCTTTGCCTCAACAGGTGCAACCTCAGCATCCAGAATCTCGTCATGTGTCTTTTGTTCACCCACAATAATGCGCACAACATTGCCATCATCATCACGCTGGATCAAACCCTCTCCTGGACCCAGCGACTTTTTGATTTCCTCAATATCATCCTCTGTTAACTCTTTGAGCTCTTTCGGCTCTGTGCTACTGTTGGCTGCTGTTGGCTTTGGTTCGGGCATCTTTTTTTCTCTACCACCAGATTCACCGTTTAACGAAGTCAACAAACCAAGCTTTTCGTAACTACACAAGCAATATGTTAGATCCACAATTGAGACTTTTAAGTAGTCTAGTTATTTACTTTTGTCTTAATGTCAACTTTTTATCCCAATTGGCTTTGATGATGGAATTACCCTATAAAGCTGCATGTTAGATGACATTGGATGGACGGTTGATGATGTGATTGAATATTACATGGATGGTAACTCTCTTTCTATGTCTGTCGGCTGTACGTCTAGTGTTTTTGTTGGTGTTTTTTGCAGCTCTCTTTTGACGAACGGTACCCATGATATGCGATTATGATGTTTAATTTGACAGGATCAGGAAGAAAGAATAGAAATCAAAAAATAAGAAAAAATATTTCACCAAGAAAAAGAAGTCTCCAGGCTCTGTGACCATTGATGATTCGGTTTGACAGGAATCTCAATTTTTAATGTAGGCTGGTATGTGATCCGTGGCATTGGGAGCAAGTCATTCACTTATGGGTAACAAGCAATAACCAAATTTTTCTGGTCATTTAAACCTGCCAAAAAAAGATTAAAAGCAACAACATCGAAGCTGGGCTCTGAAAAAAGTGTAAATCAGGAGCTTCATTTCTGGAAAGTTTGGTCGGGTCTGATTTTTTAGGCACTGTAGATCCACGAGAGCTAATGCTATAGCTTTAAGTGGGGCCTCAAACGATAGATGCTTTTTGAATCTAAACAATGAATACTGCGAAAGGTGCTTTGGTGCAAATTTAGCGCAGGCTTCCCTCAGAAAACCTATAAAATATATGAAAAAACAAGACTATTTAGACACAAATTGTGAATAGACTGTTCAGAGTAGTACCGTTTAAAGCACATTCTCATTTTGTACCAAGTTATGACTAATGTGATTTTAATCCTGAATTTTTGAACAAAATTCTTGACTAAAAGTCGTGAAATATAAGGTATTAAGTAAATTCATAAAGGGGATGTGCATTTGGGGCTTAAAGCTTTTACATCATCCGAGTGTGTTTATGCTTCGGATGGCTCTCTACCTTCGCTTCGCTTCAGTGAGAACCAACCTGCGCAGCGGCAGCTCGCACTACCGATTGTCCTTGCGTATCTTATCAAAACACTACTGCTTTCATGTTGACCCTCTACTTACACATGAAAACCCTTCATATTATCTGTGGATCTGATTCTTATGTGATGTTCTACATCCATATACACGTAGCTACTTCATATACGGGCAAGCAGCATACTGGTATTCCCACTTTTTAGTCCTTAGTGTCCATAATACAGCAAAATATGAGTGCATTTGAGCTGAATTTTCTTGCGTTCAAGGCCATTTTAGATTGTCAGAATAGCCCCAAATGGTTGCTTTCATCTGGCAGTTACTTTCTGACACGTTTGCTCGACTTTTTGTGGACCAAAAAAACATGGTCAAAAATCGACCAAAAAGCATGAGGTACCCCTCATAGTTTTCATCGAAAATCAAACGATCGCATTTTTTACCTTGAAAACGGAGACTTTTACTATGGTATATCTTGAATCAAAATGTTTCTATCAATCCAAAGCAACCTCTGAAATCATCTTTGTGAGACTTTGATATGTAAAATTTCGACATTTTGGCCATAAACCTCTTTTCATATTTTTATAAATCATTCAATAAGTGTATTCAAAACATCTATATAACTTGGTACCATAGGAAGCGTCTTGAAAAGTACTCCAGGAAAGCTTAAGGAAGCATGGGGTGATTATCATACTTCACTTAGTCGAATCTGCAAAAATAGCTCGATCGAGTCCAGAATCATCAAAATTTGTCCAATCTGGAACAGACTATGATTCTGGGTTTAAATTAATTTTGGCTGGTAGGGCCAGCTGGAAAACTCATGCCCTTTTCATAAGGCAATACAGTAGTAAATGCCCTTGAAGCGTATAGAAAGTAGGTGGAATGTCATAGCACTATCGTTTATAATGATATTTTATTGCCTTCTATATCGTTCATAATGATATTTTATTGCATTCTATATTTAATAACGTTAGTCTGGACATTGACAATGCATGGGTTGCATAAAATGTCTGCAGTAAGTAGTGAAATCTCTGAGGCTCCGAGCTGTCGTTCAAAGAAAACGTTGGTAGCATTGAGCAGAGGAAAGAGGATAGAAATAATAGTGGTTTTTATTGATTGATTGTAAAATCATTATTCTCATATGAGCCAGGTCTGATAGATGCCTTGAAACTCAGGTTCCATATTAGGATTGTAAAGTGCAAAAGGACTGAACATTTATTATGTTATGATATTGAATCAAAATGATTCTATCGATCCAAAGCAGCTTCTGAATTCATCTTTGTGGGACTTTGATATGTAAAATTTCGATTTTTTGACCAGAAACCTCTTTTTATATTTTCGTAAATTACTCGATAATTTTATTCAAAACATTTATTTTATTTGGTACCATTGGATGCGCCTTGAAAAGCACTCCAAAAAAGCTTAAAGATGCATTTTTTTTTTGTAGGGGAGACGAGCTCCAGTTTTTATTTAAAGTCCTGTAAATGTCGCTATGAGTGATAGACAAGACTGTTGGTGGACCCAATGTCAGTCATGATGGGGAATAAATTATGGAAAGGAAGTTGGGAAAGAAATCTACTACAAATAAGGTGGGCACTTAGAGCCAATACAATCATGCTAAGTTGTCATACAGAGATACTGGATAAGAGAACATTCACCAAACGAGGACATCAGTACGACCGTAAATAATTAATCAAAATGCGTTCACTGGGATTTGAACCGGGATCCTCCCGTTGGCATACGGGAGTTTTACCACTTCGCCCTACCACCAGGGGCAAAGCTTAAAGATGCATACGATGATCATCATATTTTACTTATTCGAATCTGCCAGAATAGTTCAATCGAGTCGAAGGTTTTTAAGACTTGACCAATCTAGAGCAGACTATTGAACTGGGTTTGAAATAATTTTGGCTGGTGGGGCTGACTGGCAAACTTAATGGCATTCTAATCATGAAGGCAATACAGTAATAGATGCTTTTAAAGCGTATGGAAAGTAGGTGGCAAATTACATAGCACTATTACTATCCATGGTTTTTTTTAAGTCTTATATTTAATAACGCCAGTCTACTGAAATGCTTTTAAGATCAAGTTTTTCTCTTTTTGAGGCTTTGAAAGTAGTATCTAGGGACCATAAATTTACGATGATATAATCGGATCCGAACACAGTGAAGTCAGGCTTAATAGATTTAATAAAAAAGCAAAGCCGTAGTAAAATACAATTGAAGCCAACTGTATTTATTTATGTAGTTCAGAAATGAACTAACGTATTTATATGCAGTATATACATTTGTAACTCCTAGCTTATAGCTTTTTGTAGTGTTAATGATTACAGAGGCCAATAGGTGCTGCTGTTGCGACGACATCTGGCAAATATTATTGATGTTTGATTTAAAGCGATAATCAATGCAAGAGCACTGGCCATAAGGGACGACTTGAGTAACCTTGATGGGCTTGGGTGAGCTATCGTCATAGCATGATTTAATGTAACCTTGATGGTTTAAAGTGTGATGTTTGTTATTGAAGTATGGAATCCTTTATCTGGGATATTGTGCAACTATGGCAGCAGGGCATAGTTGTCATATTTGAATATGACTGTTATTGATTTGATTCTATTTGGATAAAGATACCATCACTTATTACGACCATCATGGGTGTGATTGAATACACTGTGATCAGGAGTGATTCATTCACACGATGTGCGATATAAGCATGCATCCTTACTTTAGTATGTTTAAATGGTTTTTTGATGCACATTTGAGCGTTTTCATTAATAGATCCAAATAGCATGAATTTGAATGAGTGCTATTTGATGAACTTTGGTTTTCAATTAAGTTGCGTTTGGGTGGCTATTTCATTACATGTACAACGCTTATCACATTTGGTGAACCTCAGTATTTAGATAGCTGAGATGCACTTCAATTATCATAGCTTGTCCATGTTGTTACACAACACAGACGTATCTACCCATCAAGAATACCTTAATCTTTATAGACACTTGTAGCCCTTCTGGCACAACACTCGTTAATTATGAATGTTTAACATCGTGGATAGACTTTAAGTCTGATTTCACGGCTAGATGTGGCGTCTCTTGTGGACAACAATCAAAAGTGTCTTGCTAACCTAATGAGCATTTAATTCAATCCGAGCAAGTCTTTAGCTTCAAGTTTGCATAATATTATTGACACTTCAGTATCAAGATTAGTGTAATCGCGCATTCCAAAAAGCAATATCTGAGCCTCGGGACCGGAATAAAAGCGTCTATTACTTGAAAATTCAGTCCTGTACAAAGCAGAACATTTGGTTTATCAGACAGAAGCGTAACTTGATTACTCTTCTGGTAACGCAACTCACTACGCCGTCGTTTTAGGTCGAATTCTGTTCAAATCTAGCCATTTTCAAGCACGAATAACTCATGCCACAAAGCGTTCTGAGCGCTTGGAATAGCACCACACGCCTCCTCTTGATCATGCTTTATTTCCTGACGCTTAATCTCAAAATTTTTTGGGTCACTGCAAATTCATGAAAATCCTCGTTTTTCCATGAGTATTAGCAAGGGAAAATTTTTGAAAATCAAACGATCGGGTTTTTCACGTCAAAAGTGAAGACTTTTCCTATGATACATATTGAATCAAATTGACCGTAAAGATGAAATGCAACATTGGAAACTCTTTCTATGAGACTTTCATATGCTAAATTTTGACATATTCACAGAGAACCAGTTTTCATATTTTTGGAAATTGCTCATTATTTTTGGCGTGAAAGCTGAAAGTAATCAGCACCATTCGATGCGGCTTCTTTAAACCTCTAGAGACGTATTAAAAAGCTGGGCGTGACAACGACAGTTTTCATTGTTAAATTTAACAAAAACGTTTAAAGGATGTGAGGTCAAGTCAAGTTTGAACACAAAAATACCATTGCACATATTCAAATTAAATTGCCGCAATTACTGCTGCTACGGTATAAGACTGAGACCAAATCAACTAGCCGTGACGTCGGATAGGACGCCCTCTCATTGTTCCATACTCCTATTTTGTTCCCTTTTTGCAAAACGCGTTTAGTATCAAACCATGGCTCTTTTGGAAACCGTTTGATTGGTATTAGCAATGTAGCTTCTAATAGCATTGTCTTGTGCTGTTAGAAGAGCTTGATACTGATTTTTTGAAGTGGAATACATCAGGTACCATTCGATAACGAGCATTGGAAGACGTAAAATTAAGACTAATTGAATTTGTTTGTTAGGGTTTGATTATTATTATTTTTTTGCCTGTTTGACGTGGATGCTGCTGCCATTACTTCTCTGTCATCTCTGCTGCCCGCTTCTTTGGTTTATCACGTCTGGTGATTTCTTCTTTGGCATTTGTCTGGTCTCTGCTGGTGGCGTTCGTTCCTCGGTTTGTCTATGGTGCTGGTGTTGCTGCTACTGCTGCTAATATGGCCCTTCTCGGTCTACTGTGTTTGGTGCATGCTCGTTCTCTGGTCTATATTCGGTGATTGCCTATTGTCTGGTCTATTTATGGTAGTGGTTAGTGGTAAGTATTTTTTTTCTTCTGATCGCGATGATATAAAACTTCTTTGAATGTTTATATCATTGCTTCCTTTCTCGTGATAATGCATTCTTGATGCTTGCCTTGTTGCGCTTTCTTTCTCTTTTTTTTCTTTCGTTGGTAGTGTTTCCTCTGTAACATTACATGAAACAACGTTAGCCATTATGTTGTACTGCAAACTTAGAATACCATTGTTGCTTTTGCAGTTGTGCGTATTTGTGCCATGTTGCTTTACATCCGACTATTACTACCATCATGCATGTTGCTCATGTATGCATTTTTGTTGCAACAGCAACGAGCTTTTTTGAACGTCTCTGATGTTGTATTTGTTATGCTTTTCTTTGAGTACTCACTTTGTGTGAGTATCTCTTTTTTGCCTACCTACTACTATACTTCTATAGTAGTATTTTCGTTTCTTCTTTCTTTTATTATTATGTTTCTTTGAAGCATACCTTTTTTTACGTTGTGTGGATGTGCCTATCCCTGAAGCTCAACAAGACTCTATCCGAGGCTAGGAGGTAGATAGGCTGCCTCCATTTGGTTATCACTACTTACTTTAGTGATGATTGAGGGTCTCAATGCCAGTATTTAAAGCTAGGTGGTGTAAGTAAGGCATGCTCTAGCACCTGAGGGGAATTTGATGATAGCTACCGCTCTATTGCTATATAAAGCGGCGTTTAAAATTTTGCCTCACATCAAAACAGGGGGAAACTCTCGCAAATTTTTTTTTAGATCAGCGGAGTTTTCAAGCGATTTGATTGGCTCGGATGTTGAAGCACCGAAGAGTTCTAGCTAGTTGATTTCCTATCAATCCATGTTCCTGAATTTGTGATAAAGGTTATCCAAATACAGTAGATGTGAAATTTTAGGCTTGATAGACTAAAATTCACGGAAAAAAAAAGAATAAAAAAACAGTAATGTCAACTTGATAAAGGTATATTTTATTATCAAACTGACAGGTGTAAAATAAACTGAAGTCTCTCTACTGGCCAGGTAGATGATCCTTCTTATATACTATAACAATGGATAAAAGTTCTATTAATTAGATTGACAAATAAGTCAACTCAGATCAACTAATGTCTAATCATGCTAAAAGACAACTCCAGCAAGCTAATCATGATTTAGCTCTGTCTGGATGAATAACTAGACTCTCATCCGAAGTACCCTGATCTATCCTTTCTATAAGGATAATTAATATCGATCTAGTAGCATGTATCCGATAGATACAGTCTCCTTAGTCTATATTAATAGTACATATCTGAGTGTATATCGCTGAGCATACATCTTTAGCATGTATCTGGATATATGGCATGTCTATAGCATGTCTCATATATAGTACAAGTCTGTAGTACATAAAGTATCTGTAGTTAGTATCACGGATATAAGCATGAGTCTTATAGCGTGGGTCATGAGGTGCACATCTGAAGCAACAAGCTCATATTGCATTAATCTTGGTGCCTATCCAGATATGGTAAACATCCGTAGTCAATGTCGGAATACAAGTATAAGTCTATAGCGCCATCCATGTCCGTGGTGCCATCTATAGCCTATATCTTATATAGTATGGATCTTATAGTACTAGCGTATCTGAAGTCCATATCTTCTTATGGTATAAATCGATACCGTACATCTTATTCAGTGTACATACAGTTTATATCTAAATTTGGTGACTGGATGAACTGTCGGAATGCTGATTATGATAGATGTATTCCACAGGCAGAACCAGTTAAACAGCCATCCGTTTCTAAAAATATCCGAAAATGAGGAAAGTAATCTAATTATAATCGACATTTGACGCCATTCAAATTAATTGTGTTCCACAGACCCTGTAATTTGTCCTCAATATTTGTCTGATGAGGTGCTTGTTCTCGAAAACCTTTTTTCTCTTTCTCTATAAACAAATATCACCATGAGTAGCATCGAAGACGCAAAGCTTCTTAAGCAATTGAAGAAGCAAGAACTTAAAAAGCTGAACAGAATGAAGCGAATCCAGAACGGGACTGCAACTACACATGACAGAAGGTTGTATAAAAAAGAACGTGACGCCATGAAGCGCAGACTTGCAGAGCAAGAAGCAGAGAACGTTGCCAAGAGAAGTAGAAGTAGAAGCAATGGCAGTGGATCTGCAGATGAAATGTACGCACGACTTGAAGAGGCACGACAACAAATGGATGAAGATGCTGATGAGTTTGGTATGTGGGTGGACGACGACACTCAGGATCATCCAGCTCCAGTTGAACGTGTAGAACGAGTTCACAATCGTAACTTCAACCCGAAGAAGCAAAGAAAGCAGTTCTGGGCGGAAGGCAGTGAAGCATTGCTCACTGCATTCATCGAGTCTTTCAAGAGGTGTGGCGAGCCCGACTTTAGACTCGAGAAGCCCTTGGAAGTGGAGAAGCCTGCTAGTTGCAACTGCTCAATCAGACGCACCTCTGACTTGACTGGATTCATGTTTGGTGGTAATTAATCGTACAAAATTAAGCTTTTCATTTTTTATTGATTAAATTGCTGTTTTAGGACCTTCGAAGTTCTCAGTGTCATACTGTGATCATCAATCTCTTTTGGAAACCCTTGTGCTCTGTCAGATGCCCCCAACTTCCCACTCAACAACCAAAATCGGCAATCCATTTCTCAGTTTTTAAGTATGGTAACATTGCCAAGCTAGATGGCTATGTTTCCAACCATAGATTCACCAAAATCTACAATTCTTGGTGTTTGCAACGAGGTGGATTCAGCAAGGACGTAAGTCTACCCCTTGGTAGTATGATGTCCGCTTACATGTATTCTTTGATTGTAGTTCATTCCGATGGATGCCTCTGTATATAACATGCTTCAACTGATTTACAGAAGTGTTCATAAGCATGCAATGGATCGCGTCTGCGTGAAAAGAATTCGTTGGCTTTGCAAGTAGGTTGCTATGCTTGCCATGTAAGTTACATGATTATCGTATGCAACTTAGAAAAGCCTGGAGCATCTCTCTAAACAAAAATGATAAAGTGCTGAACGCAAGTTTGTGTCCATGGATGGTAATTTTTCGTGGAAAAGACGCAAAGATCGTAACTCTAGCAAGAACAACTGGGAGCAGGGCATCTTTGCTCCGTCATCACTACGGCCCAACTGATGTTCTCATGAGAACATCGATGTTCCCAAAAGAGCACATCCATGTTCCGTGAGAACATCAGTTGGGCCGTAGTGCATGAGCAGAGATTGCCTTGGTGGCACCTCCTGAGGAAGTTGAGCGGTTCAATGATCACACTGAGGTCACTGACGAAGAGGTACCTGAAAGATTAATATATGAGGCACTTTTTAATAACAATTATGTCAAATCAGCGCTTACTTCGAGATTTTGACAGTGAATTCAAGGCCGGTGTTGACCGTAGACGACAAAATGGCAACCGATTTGGTGAGTGTGGTGTGTTCTCTTTGAACTGTGCCAGACATGGTATTGTCGAGCGTATCTTTGACATCTTTGGTGGCGAAGGGTAAATCAACAAGGAAAGACGCGATCTAAGAAAAGCTAATATCATAATTTGTAGACGCAAGTACGCTTTGGCTGCAATCAGTCATGTGGTTGATAGCTTGGGAGACCAAGAAAAGCTGGCTGTCTTGTATGACATTGTTTGCATGTGCCAAAAAAGAATAGTGGTAAGCATCCAGCTTGTTCACTACATAATCTTAAATGCCTTATTTGATTTAGGAGTCTGTCCCTCTCATAAATAGACATGACCCCATCTATGGCGTAGCCATTTTCCATGCTTTGGCTCACAGCCTCAACTGCCAAGTCAAATACTTTCCAAGATATGTGAAGGCTATGGCTCTCACCGGTAATAAGCGACTATGAATTTCTCTGTGAACTGTAAGACTGTTATTAATTCATCCAATTTATAGATGGCGAATCTGTTGAAAGAATGTGATCCCACTGCAATCATTTTGTGAGCATGTCTCGCAATATGAGCAAGGTTAACCGACATGCTCTTTTGACACAGGTCTTGGACAAGTATACAAGTGACAAGATATATTCTTTGGGTAAGGACTCGCATATGTTGACGGACGGAGACTGACATAGCTGTCATTCTAGCCTCTTACATCAACAGAAAATACAAGAAGGTGCTTACAAAAATGCGTCTTCTCAACTTGTCGATAGCAGAGTACAAGAATTTCACTACGGCCCAACTGATGTTCTCACAGAACATGGATGTGCTCTTTTGGGAACATCGATGTTCTCATGAGCACATTGATGTTCTCATTTGAGAAGGTGTAGTTTTCCACATGAATAAAATGGTTTGAATAGCTAAACTATAGTACTGTAGGCAACAGAGAGACTTTTATTATCTGTAAAATTCATAAAATTACTAAACGTATTATAAAATGCACGAGAAAATGGCAATTTAAAACTACCTAATAACTACTTATTAAAGTAAAAGAATATATTTCAATAAGATATTCGAGTAGTTTAGTGGGAAGAACGTCAGATCCACAACCGATAGGTTGTGGGTTCGACCCCGGTAGGAGAATTCTTTTTTTCAAATTTCTGAAAATCGATGTGCTCGTATAAGAATATAGATGTGCTCACATGGGAACATTTCGGATGTTTTTATAAGAACATCGGCCGACTTATAATAGATCTTTAGGAACGCCGATGTTCCCATATGAGAGCATTTTTCACCTTTCGGGAACATTAGTTGGGCCGTAGTGTTTTGTAGCTCGAGTTTCTTTATCATCTGTGCAATTCTTGACTGAAAAAAGGAAGGTAAAGGTCAAAGATCCAACACAATGCTACTTGGTGAATGTGATATTAAAATAAAAACAAATATTTACTGAATTTTCGGAAGAATATCATTTCAATTATCATCTTCATCCCCTTGATCGTTGCTCTTATCTTCATCACTGTCATCATCATCAGCTCTCAGCTTTTCAAAGTAGATGGTTGTGTCCTCAAAGCCCTGAAGCAATGTATCCATTGAATTATCGCCGTCATAGACATCGAAGGGCGCCTTCCCGTCACGAACAGGAGGAACAATACCAGTGGGCCATCCAACTATCTTCACGCCCAAACTACGCATCTTCGCGTCATTGAACAAAGACAGCCAAGGAACACATTTGTATTGTCTTCTGCTAACTTCATCTATCCTCAATAAGATTAGCAACCCTATTTATTTAAAGATTATATACTATCACACTTACTGAAGGCTGCAGAGACTGCAATCTGCAAGCTTTTCTTCATATCCGTCTTGGTTCGCTTTCTTACTGGCTCATGACCAGTGGCATGGGAGGTGATAGCAGCAGAGTGAGCAGATGGGCCGCGTAGCTTTGCTGGGATCGACAATTGCTTAGAGTTGGGAGCGCAATCTGGCACTCTGGAGGCGCTGTTGATGTCCTCTTCATCTTCATCATCGTCACCACTACAATAACTACGATCATTGTCGTCTCCATTGTCACTCTGATCATAACTGCTGAAGACGCCTTCGGAATCAGCCTCAGCATTTTGATCATCCTCCTTCTCATCGCTCGGGTCAGTATCAGTACCAATGTCATTACCAGCAACGTCAATAAAAGCGACATTGACAGCATCAACATCCACATCAGATTCAACAAGAGGAGTCACCTCAGCCTCATCGGCCTCAGCTTAGCTGTCATCCTGGTCAACAAAAGCCGGCAAATCGATAGCTGCAGGCACTGCGGCAGGCAAGACAGGATAATGCAATTGCTTGCGTTTTCTTGTCTGTCTATGAGGAGCGGGGGCAACCCTTTGTGCTTTAAAAATCGGTTATCGGAAATGATGAATTTTGCTGTGCCAAATACATTTTCCAGATCATTTACCTTCAGTAAAACGCACTACAGAGTTGCCCAACACCATTCTTCTCAAACAGCTTACGATTGAAAATATTGAAAGTTTAGCATTGACAGTATTGACGCATTTCGTTGTCATAGCTATGAATCAATGTGCAATCAATTTTTTTAGACTCTACATTGTACCAGCGAGACGTACAAGAGTAATTACCTGTATTTCTATACAAGCCTGGAGGATACAATTCCTCATGCAAAGTATCAGTGTACGTTATCAAAAAAGCATGGGTGTTGTAGTTGGTCATCAAATACTTCAGATTGTTGTTCATTTTCTTTATATCATCTTCAAATTGCTCGCTTCTAGCAAGTAAAGAAGGAATTTCAGCATTGTTTGTGGCGACTGCAACTGACTCCAATCGCCTTCTTTCATTCTCTCTAAGCACGCGGTACTCGGCTGAAGTCAGTGCGGACAGCTCGCCAAAGGACAGTCTCTCCTCCTTAGGCCTAAGCTTGTTTTTGGCAGCCATCTCTGCCATAAATACCGACCATTCAGTGGCTGGACAGCCTTTCAACATCTCTCTCTTGCCATGGAATTCGTCCAGCCTGTCAATGAACAAGTTGCCACAGACGAATCGGCGAACCTTGTCTTCTGAAAGCCTGCGGCTGTTGTCATCACTGTTCACGAAATCGTCAACCAATTTGTTGACATTGCGGAAGAGCTCTTTTAATGAGCTAGTGGTCTCTTGAGCAGTGGGCAAGTATTCAGGCAATGACATTTTAGTTAATAAAATTAGGAAGAAGGAAGTTTGAATTGCGTTACATTGGCTCTATTAAATGATCTTTACTGCGTTCTGATACGAATGTTTACAATTGTTCGTCACATTAAATCTAAGGTTTACGGTTCCCCTGATTGAGAATAAAGACTGACGATTGATGACACTGGATTAATTCCACAGGTTGGATCCAAGTAAGCAACATCAAAACATATATTCTGCTTATTCATATCATATATGGAAAAAAAATTGGTACAGGCCATCACTAATGAAACCACATCCACTGGAAGATCTCATCAATGCTTGCATTTCAAATATCCTAGACACTGATTTATATCAGTGGGACGACATCGCCGCCCCTCACTTGACAATTCATAATGGCCAAATGATGAAGATTCGCGATAATGACATGACTTAATCATAGCTAACTATATATTGCACTGCCCTAATATAAGTATTCTGCCTGAATAATGCGAACATTATCGAATCTAATCTTCCATTTGATACAGTCGATCATATTATAAAATTTACATCCCCACACTAAACCTTTGAAAATCAATACTACCTCGCTATGATTATTAAACAAGGCCAACATATAATCAAGATGGCAGAGCATTAATCTTACAGTATACAACGCTAAAGGAGTCATACAATACTTATCAAAATGTTGTTTGAAAATTGAGTAAATCGTTGGTTCTTCATACGCGCCTTTTTCCTGCCATATTTATGAGCTATAAAGAATGAGAGTAAAAGGTATACTAAGCCCCAGGAACTGAGACGTTATTCTAGACCTAATTATAGCATTGTAGTGAGAACAGTGATTTATTCCTGTCGTTAATTTAGAGCCTGTGTAATCTATTCATACATTTTGCAATCTAATAATAAACCTCTCCATAGCCAAATGCTCAAGCCGGATATGAATTATCCTACACGCAGCAGCGTGTTCCCACCAAAAGAGGTTATTACGTATTTTTAGTATGAGGAGCCAACAAACGTAATATGTACAGCAAGTAAAGGCTTTCATTTTGATTATCAGGCTTGCTACGTTATCAAGTGTTGATACCACGTAGACAGACGTTCTTTTAATGGACTTTTTGGCCGTTTTTACCGCAATGATCGAATCAAGGAAGCGCATGTACACGGAGCATTTTGGCTAGAAATAACGACGGTGTTGTTTCACATAGGTCGTTTTTCCATGAGTATTAGCAAGGGAAGATCCTTAAAAATCAAATGATCGCGTTTTTCACACCAAAAATGACGACTTTTCCTATGATACATATCGAATCAAATTGATCTTAAAGATGCAATGCAACACTGGAAGCTGTATTTATGAGGCTTGTATATGCTATATATTGACATATTCACTAAAAACATGTTTTCATATTTTTGCAAATTTCTCATTATTTTCGGTCAGAAAGCTAAAAGTAATTGGCACCATTCGTTGCAGCTTTTTTAGTCTTCTAACGTCATATTAGAAAGTTGGGTGTTATAACGACAGTTTTCATAGTCAAATTCTGTAAAAGCGTTTAAAGGATGCGAAACCAAGTCAAGTGATGAATTCGTAATAATAAGTCGATGATAATAATCAGTTGTCAACTGTATCTAAAAACGAAAGCAAAAAGCTTCTTTATTACAGGGCATCTAGCTTGCTTAAATATGGTAGGTCCCTGGTCAATGACTACTACGTTGAGATGGTATATAAATAGCAGGCCACTGGGGCCTTATGTATTGTTGGTATAGCTTGTTGAGAGGCCACCTAAGTCGAAATGTTTCATGTAGTGTAGGTGGATCTCGATATCTTGACATTAGTGAGATTGAATGTATTGTAGTTCCTGAGGCATCTGTGCACACACAATTGACTGGATTTGTAAACATAGATGTGATGTGATACGATAAACATCATCTATGCTGCTACACTGTAAAAGGTGGCTTCAGGAGAAAGTGAATGTAACCTAAGATGCATGCTTGTATGCAACATCAAGTTTGAACACAAAAATACCACTGCACAATTTCAAATTAAATTGCCGCGAATACGGCCGCTACGGTACAAAACCGAGACTAAATCTACTGGTAGTGACGTCGGATAGGGTGCCCTCTCTTTTTTCCATGCCCCCTTTTTTTTCCCTTTTTGCAAAACGCGTTTAGAATCAAACCAAGGTGGTTTTGGAACCTTTTTGATTGATAATAACACTCTAGCTTCTGATAACCCTGCCTTGTACTATTAGAAGAACTTAATGCTGCTTTTTTGAAGTGGAATATATTAGGTACCATTCGATAACGAGCACTGAAAGCCGTAGAACTATCACTGATTGAAATTTTTTATTAGGTTTTGATAACTCTTACGCCTGTTTGACGTGGGTGCTGCTGCCATCACTCTTCTGCTATCTCTGCTGCCTGCTACTTTGGTTTATCATGTCTAGTGGCCGCTTTTTTAGTCTCTATCTCTGGTGGTTGCTTCTTAAGTCTTTGCCTGGTCTCTGGTGTCGCTCGTTCGGTTTTTTATAGTGTTGGTGTAGTTGCTGCTTGTATTGCGTCTGGTGTTACTGCTGATGTTGCTGCTGATGTTAATATGGTTCTTTCAGATCTACTGTGTTTGGTGCATGTTGGTTCTCTGGTCTGTCTGTGGTCATTACGTATTATCTGGCCTCTCTCCAGTCATTGCCTATTCTGTTGTTCATCTCTGGCCAATCTCTGGCCAATCTATGGTTTATCTCTGGTCTATCTGTGGTCTATCTGTCGTTTATCTCTGGTGATTGTCTACTCTCTGTGTATCTATGGTAATATTCTATTCTGTGGTCCATCTCTGGTTTATCTCTGGTCTATTTATGGTGGTGATAAATGGTAAGTATTTTTTTTTCTTCTGGTCGCGATGATATAAAACTTCTTTGAACGTTTATATTATTGCTTCCTTTCTCGTGATAATGCATTCATGATGTTTGCCTTGTTGCGCTTTTTCTTTTTTTTTCTTTTGTTGGTAGTGTTTCCTCTGTAACATTACATGAAACGACATTAGTCATTATGTTGTACTGCAAACTTATAATACCATTGTTGCTTTTGCAGTTGTGCGTATTTGTGCCATGTTGCTCTACATCCGACTACTACTACCATGCACGTTGCTCATGTATGCATTTTGATTGTATCAACAACAAGCTTTTTTAAACATCTTTGATGTTATGTTTGTTATGCTTTTCTTTGACTGGCTTCGTGTGAGTTTCTCTCTTTTTTTTTTTGCTTACATATTACTATACCCTTATAGTAGTATGTTCTTTTCTTCTTTCTTTTATTATTTTATGTTTCTTTGAAGCATACCTTTTTTACGTTGTGTGGATGTGCCTATCCCTGAAGCTCAACAAGACTCTATCCGAGGCTAGGAGGTAGATAGGCTGCCTCCACTTGGTTATCACTACTTACTTTAGTGATGATTGAGGGTCTCAATGCCAGAATTTAAAGCTAGATGGTGTAAGTAAGGCATACTCTAGCACCTGGGGGAAGTTTGATGATAGTAACAGCTATATTGCTATATATAGCGGAGCTTAAAATTTTGCCTCACATCAAAACAGGGGGAAACCCTCGCAATTTTTTTTTAGGTCAGCGGAGTTTTCAAGCAATCTGATTGGCTAAGAGGTTGAAGTAGCAAAGGGTTACAACTAGTTGATTTCCTATTGATCTGTCATTTATAATATTTTTGTGTTTATAATAAATGGGTGTCTTCTAAATAGATGCAATTTAAGTTCTTTATTCAAACGTAAGACAAGATATAATTATTCGATCTGACATCTACCACACTGCTTTATGTGAGGAATGCTCTTTACGTTTATTATACGATCCAAGGAAAGTTATATAGGTACTACAACATTACACTGGGTACAGGGTTCTCCCAGCAGTACCAAATACCCCGCCAAGCATGCGATGTACATCATTGATTTCCAATATGTTTCAGTTTCAAGGGTCACTATCTTTTGCTTCTTCATATCACGTTCTGAATGTACAAAAGTATTTCCAATTTCGAGGTTTGGGCCATCATCCAAAATTAAGTTTTAAAATGTCAATGCTAGAGCTCTGAAAGTAGCATGTTTTATAGCAATACAGCGAGGAAACTGAGAGTAGTGCAGTTGAATTAGTAGGTTGGATGATGGTGGGTTGCTGTTCAAAAACGGATGATTTCAGATTAAGACAATTTTGATGAGGAAAGACTTATGTATAAAACGTATTGAAAACTGCTAATAACAAGTAATCACGAGTAGTAAATCGATAGATGAGGTGTTGGGAAACGTTATATTCAAACCGTTCGTCCCTACTTTGCTTGGTTGTGGTTTGGTAAAGGTTTCAAGCTATGCTATGCATTTTACCAACAAGGGAAAGCAGCTTTTCCACGCCCTATAATGATGTATTATTCTAAGCCAGATCAAGTGTTTATTATCAAGAAATTACTCTATTAACGGCAGAGATTACTTTGTCTACGCTGGGTCTAGCGTCAGAATCCGTGTTTAACATCCAAGATATCAGATCTTGGAGTGTTCTCGAGTAGACGTCTTTTTTGGCATGTGGAAAGTAAAATTGTCTATTCAGCACGGCAAGTGCCATCGTTCCTCCTTGCTGATTTATAGTCATCTCAAATGGTGATTCTCCATAGGCCATAGCAAAAAGTGTGCACCCTAATGACCACACATCCACCTTCTCAGTGAGCGTTGTACCTGTTTTAACGTCAAATAATTCTGGAGCTCTGTATGGCATGGAGCAGTTTTCGGCAGCATCATCTTGCTGTTTCATGGCAGTTTGTCTATCTACAATCTCAACACGGGCAGATCTTGCTGATCCAAAGTCCATAAGCACAGGTGTCTTTCCATCGTCTGATAGTAAGACATTGCTACGCACATAGATTCAATAAGCAATGCAGCATACATATCGAGGGTTTACAACTTACGCAGGCTTAATGTCTCGATGTGCCCAAGGTATACTGACTCCAGCTCTATTCTTGTAAGATGCTAGTACTTGCACACTAATACAGATGTCTCTAAACAATGTCAAAATCTGTCGCTCTGGGATAGTCTTTCCTTGTTGGTTGCACTTGTCGATCAAATCTTGTAAGTTGCCTCTCTATTTGACTAATCAGCATTTGGAGACTGAGTAGCACATGATTACCTACCTTGTAGAAAGGCATGATGATGTATATAGTCTTGCTGCCATCTTCCTCTTTAATCATGCACATGTCCTTGAAACGAGTGGCTATTCAACAACCAATGCAATGGGATATGCCTTTTGGCACTCACCTCTATTTTGATGATATTCTTGTGTTGAAAACGATTTGTGATGATGGCTTCTTTAATCGCATTCTGAGCCACTTCTTTTCCCATTTTACAACGTATAGTTTTGATGGCAAACAACTGCTTCGTATCGTCCTGGGCTAGATATACAAATGAAAATCCACTGTAATTTGCTGGTTTAATAGCTATCCTCTTTTGTGAGCAATCCCTAGTTACCCTTCGCCCAGTAGTTTTGTGATTCGAAAGCTTCTTCCGTTCACTCTGATAACGGTGTTCGGAAATGTATGTGCATTGTTGTAGGTATCCACCACAGTATCGACGACAGAATTGATGGATCCTACCAGATTGGTAAAGAAAGACATGGTATCAAGAGTTGTAAACAAGTGGAAAATGCGAAAATCGCTGTACCACAAACATTAAAACGCTGTATGCGGCACTCTAAAACCACAATCCCAAGATTGGTGAGCAAGGCATGAAGGCTTCAAAGCAACATTGAGTGCCACAAATACAGTAGGCTTTCAAAGCTCAAATCAATCATTTTATGAGAAACTTCTTTTATTTGTAATTCTAGCTACTAGATCAGTAGATTTATGGAGTTTTATCGCCATCATTACCACCTTCCTCAAGCCATTTAGCATATCTCTCGAGACGAAGTCTTTCTGCTTCTTCGTCCTCCTCTGTTTGCTTTCCGCCACTCTTTTCATATTTGGTTTTGCCGTCAAACACTTCAGCACTGATTTGTCTGCCTCCGAAAAATCGTTTATCCATTAGCTATGACAAGCAGCAGATTAGCAGACGATTTCAGATACTTTGAGCGTATTACTTACTGCAATGCAAGCATCGGCGCTCTCCTTTTCCTTGTATCTCACTGAAATGACGCCTCCTGGAGATTTCTATGTTGCCATGGGCATCAGTACTGGATACTACCACTTCCCACATATCGTACAACTTACATCATACAGGATGACATTTGTCACTTCGCCCAATTTTTCGCACTCTTCCCTCACATCCTCCTTCAACTCCAGTAGTAATGTTGGATCTGTGTCTAATTCTTCTTGTGTATACATGTTCTTCAGAATGACAATTTTTGAAAACTTTTCTTGCTTTTTTCCTCCCTCTTCTTCAACCCAATCAAACTTTCGCTGCAGCTGCTGAATCTTCTTCTTCGCTTTTAGTTTACCGGTAGTCGATTTCTTCTTTTCCACTGGCTCCTTTTCCTTGAAAACTGCCTTTTGTACATTCATTTTGGTAGAGCTCTCTCCTGGTCTAAGTTCAGCTTCGTCTAGCAGATCAACAGCCAAAGGCACCGACTCTTCTTTAAAATAAGATACAAGTGCATCACCCTTTGATACGCCATTTTCATCACGATATATCTTGATCTTGGGCTCTCCGGTCTCCAAGTCCTCCATAATCACGCCGCATTTGCTGAATGTTGTCTTTAGCTCTTCAACGGTAGCGTCAGGAGGAATGCCAGTAACATAAACAGACGTTACAGGCTTCTTTGGTGGCTCACGCTTCAATTTTTTCTGCTGTACTTCTGGATCTGTAACATCATATGTCGCAGCTCGCTTCTTTTTCTCCTTGGGCTTTACCTCAACCGTCTCTTCTACGCCTTCAACTGCATACACAGATGCTTGTGCTTGCATGAGTTTTTCATCGTACTGTCAAACACATCATTAATATGTTCAGTTGTTATTGAAAATAAAGACTTACCATGGGGAACCACGCGCCCACATTCTCATCGTATTCATACGAGACGCCTTCTTCACCAACATAAGACCATTTGCCTGTTTGTTCGTTCAATGTCATTCGAGGATCAGACGAAAAGTCTGTCTTGTTTGTTGACGCCATTGTAAAAGGTGTTTGATAAGAAGAAATGTGCGATTTTGCTTATAGGATCGCTGCTACTTTATAGGCGTCCAAGTGACTACTGTTGCAAGGTCGCCATCATGCTAAACTGCATTGATGTGCAAGCTTACTGGCGTCAAAAAGCTAGCAGAAAGCGCACTACGTACATAAAAAGAATAAATCCTCTCAAGAAGCGGCATCAAATCCTCCTATTTACTACTGTTTTTTGTTTATTCTTTCAAAGTATATCTTGGCAAGTCATTTATTAATCCTTTTCGACAATTCTTTGTAAATGATCCTCAATCTCCTCAGTGGATAATGTGCGGAAATCAGTATCATCCTTATGAACAACACCAACTTCGATTTCGGTTGCTTTAAAATCTACTGCCAACACGGTGGATAACGTTGTGATAGCAAGCTGAGAGAACAACACGCATCAGTACACACTCATTTCGCATTTCGCACTGCACAGTCAGTATGTTACCTCAATGGTATCTTCCATGTTCAACTCGGGATTCTTCTTCAACTTCTTTTCCAAATGATTCAAAGATTCTTGTTGTTTGGCACCGGCTGAAGTTGCTTTATAACCGACATAATATCCAGCAGGGTCGCACTTGTATAACTGAGGTCCTAATTCGTCATCATAACCGATCAAAATCATTGCTAAATGAACATAAAGATTAGTTTATGCGCCCATTGATAACTTGACAGGTACACTTACAAACACCATAGGGTCTCATAGCGGCTTGTTGTGTATAGACTTGGTTGATGTTTGCAACACGCTTGGCAAGCATGTCAGTAGGGATTTCGTAACCGTACTTGTAACGGAACTCGGCAGCTTCTTGACGAGCCTTTGTAACTTGAGCACGAGCATCAGCTACATTGGGCGTAAAATTGGTTAATCATCTAGTAGCGCTTTTGCCCGGCAGCACATAGTCATTAAAACTTACCAATCATGCCAGTCATAACACAACCAATCTTGGGAGTCAACTTGAAGACATGAGTGATAGTAGAGGGATCCAGCAACTTGTCCTGTAATTTTGCATATAAAATCAATATCGTTGAAAGCGAGATGAGCGAGCCAATATAGCACAACTTACAGGCACTTTTCTTTGGGTAACAATGACACATCCATCACGACCACGAACACCAACAGAGGTGATACCACTATTTGAAATAGCCTTGAAAGCATATTCTATCATGGAATTAGGTACAATGCCCTGTTTTGGGTTGTTGTAAGTGCAATATTTACCAACTTGATATAATCTACCCTCAGGAGAGAAAATTGTAATGTGGCGATCGTATCCTGCACCTGAACCACGACTCATATTGTTATAGCTTTATTGTTGAATGAAGTGAGAGATAAAAAGAGAAAAGGTTTTTGGAGGAAAGCACACTTTATAACTCAAGCTTCATCTATCCAGAACGCGCGTTTCAACAAAGCTACACGCAACATTTAATCGACGTCATCTCTGTGGTACCCGTAGTTTCATAGAAACTACAACCATACCATCGCCATTTGGCATGTCAAAATGGAAGCAAATGGCAGATAACATGTCTGCATCCTATATAGATAACAGCACATGGTGCTAATTTGATCATACAGCAAGAAAACTACTTGCAATGTCCAGCAAATGGCAAATGAATTAGCTCGTAGCTCAGATGAGAGCAGGTAGCTCATTGCATGTAGAGTAGCTCAAAGTCCCTTACATGTAAAGATGATTCCTTGTTGTCAGATTTGTGAGGTTTATTGGTTATTGTGTGCTATTTTATCGTCTGGAGGATGGTCTTGGTCTTTTACGGTGTCTAGGTGATCTTGAGCCATCAGAGTCACTCTCACTTCCACTGCTGCTGCTGCTGCTGCTGCTGCTATTGCTGCCAGAGCTGCTAAAGCTCCTACTACGACTTCTACTGCTGCTTACACTGCTGCTTCGACCACGGCTACGAGAGCTGCCACTCATGCTGCTATCACTATCACTGCCAGACGAGAAAGATTCACTCGATGAAGAAGAGGATGATGAAGAAGAGGATGATGAAGATGAAGATGAAGATCTATCATAGATATTACATTCTAGATGGGCCATCTCCAAGATTCATGTGTTTACAGCTACCTTGATCTCTTTCTCTTTTTTGATCTCTCCCTTTCTTTACGCTTCAATATTTCATCAGCTAAGCCGCGCTTATCTTGCAGTTCTTTGGGCAGTTCGGGTTGATACAGCTTGATGGGTTTCTTCAATTGTTGTGTACGAGTGGGTCTTACTTTATAGCTTCTGTCTTTTTTGCATTCGTAGGTCTATGGAAGAAAGTATTAGATACGTTGAATAGAGATTCGATGTAGCATTTACCCAGTGACCATGCTCTAAGCATCTCTGACATTGAGTGGATGTGGATGCCTTTTTACTTGAAGCTTGATATCTTGGCCCTGTTCTGTACATGTCTTGATGGATAAAGGCGTTCAAATGTAAAAAGAAAAAGCGCTTGTGTACACTGAAGGATTGGCGGTCATCATGTGGTGTCGGCAGCACACAGATGGCACACAAACTGCCTTACCGTCCTCACCCGCATGCCAAACGTGTGGTATGGATAGCCCAACATGACGTATCTTGGCAGAGCTTTTTATACTCCAGCCGACCATCCTCTCTCTTTATATTCTCGAGAGATTTTCTTTTTCTTTTTCCTTTTCTCTTCTTGTTTTTGAATACAATATCAAACTTATTAAAAAATGGTAAGCCAAAGTCTAGAGCCTTGTTTTCCCGTGTAAATATCGTAAAAGAGAGCTCTACATCTGATATTCTGGAGGGCTAGAGGGTTCTCAGGATGGTCTGTATTTGCTCTACTTTTTCGTGTTTATCTTGAAACCAGTAGACATCAGCCAAGGAAGTATGCCAAGTACTTACACACAAGCTTCTAGTCATCTGGTGTAGCCGTCAACGACGAGTGTCTCTCCCTCTATCAAGATCTCAAGATCGGTAAGAAGTACAAGTATATCATCTTCAAGTTGTCCGGTAAGTTTCTCGAAAGGCATGCTGCTATGGAGACTCAAGACGCTAACTGGCAACCGCAATAGACAACAATGCAGAAATTGTTGTTGAGAAGAAGGCCGAGAGTGGTGACTATGATGACTTCTTGGCTCAGCTCCCTGAAAACGAACCTCGCTATGCCGTCTATGATTTCGATTATGAGAAGCCTGGAGAGGGTAAGAGAAGCAAGATTACATTCTACGCCTGGTAAGTTTTGAAATTTACAGCTATGCTTGCGAGTGCCCTTGTGTTAATCTGAAAAACGCGTTATTTAGGATTCCTGATACCTCCAAGGTTCGTCAAAAGATGTTGTACGCCTCCAGCAAGGATGCTATTCGTAAGAACTTGGTTGGTTTAGCTATTGAAATTCAAGGCACTGATGCTTCTGAGGTAAATATTTAAATTAAACATGTAATTATGGTAACATTTGTATTGATTCTGTTCGTCCTCTCTCCAGGTCGCCTATGAAGCTGTTTTGGACAAGGCCAGTCGTTCTGCTTAAAGATAATGTTTTTTTCTAATTCAATAAATATATAATCCACCTCTTCATCTTGCCTAACATCTTGCTCTAACAATGTCCCAAAAAGTCAAGCATGCATCTGTTTTTATTTCTTGAGTTTAAAGAAGCATGTGTAAATAATAAAATTAACACAAGATGCTCAAAAAGACCTTGGATAGAGTGCGTCTTTTGAGAACAGGAGTGAGTGTAATATGCAGTATATATACATATACATGAAAAGAGCATTGTTCATGAATATCTATAGTATCAAGTATAATGGAAAATCTACAGAAGATTCCGGGGTTTCAAGTAGGCAATGGTGGTCTCTGATTGTATCGCCATGGGTTTAATGGTGGTAAGGTAAAGGACTTTTCAGTAGGCTCTTCTTTAAAGTCCTTTTGATGTTGACGATCGGCCAGCGATGCCAACGTATCCAGAGGTGGAGAATCACGAGTCGATGTGGTAGGCGGTGTGTCATGTCGAAAATAAGAGCTAGAAGGAGGTGGAGGTGGAGATGATTGGTGTTGCTTGTTGGGGTATTGTTGTTGCTGATAGGAAGCAGCATAGATGGGCTCGTCAGCAGTGGGATCTTGTTTTGCCCATTCGATATCGTTTTCAGCGTCGTCCTCTGTTAATCCTAAAGTCAAAGAGCGTACAATGTTTGTTAAGGGTTATATAGTAACAGTGTTGGGTTAGGAAAAATCATGAAATGGTATAGCAAAAAAAAAAAAAAAAAAAAAAAAAAAAAAGGATATTAATCATCGAAGGTCTGTCAGGAGGCAACCATTCGCTCAAATGTTCATCATCCAAAGAGCCTGTTTCCATGCCATTATTTTCTGTATCGCATCATGAAGCAGCCAATCACACTTACTTTGGACATGATTTGAGTAGTATTCCTGTTCCAATGTGTTGATTTTGTGTTGCACATGCTGTATCATGGATCGTCGGAGGGCTAACTTGTCCCACTTGAAAATCACTCTGTTATTAAGCCGCAAGCAGTTCATTTCCTAGGCAACTTACATAGTATTGCGAATATGCAGCATATTTCTGGGAATTGAAAAAGTTGTTGACATTACCCTCAGCAAGGGATCGACGCATTTCCGCTACGCTCAGCATCTTTGTTCTCTTGGACTCAATGTCGCTCAATAGCCTGTGGTATTCAGAGTGTGATCCATCCTTGACAGCCTTTTCAAGCTTGTCCAATTCAGTTAATCTGCACATTAAAAAATATATTAGCACTGCTTGGTGATTTGTTTGTGTATATTGCACTGATTTTCAACTTGCCTTTCTTTGATGATGATATCTCTTTGTGCTTTCTTGGCTTCTCTCGCTTCTTTGGAAATCCTTTGGGCGGTATTTCTTGTTTCACGTTCGCCGTCTCCATTTAAATTACTGCCATTTTGCACATTTGAATTCATGGGAGGTGTGGATGATGAGGACATGGCTGCTGCTGGTGTTGCGGGTGTTGCTGATGCCGATGCTGGAAGAGGAGGAGTTGCTTTCGAGTACGCATCGCTGCTGGCACTACCTACTCTCTTTTTGTTGCTGCTCTGGTTGCTGCTCTTTGCTTTTCTCTTTCTCTTTCTTGAATCGGTAGTTTCATAGCCACTGCTTTCCACAGATTGAGACCGCGTAACACGACCGCCATTGGAGGCGAGGCTGTTGCTAGTTACTTGGCTGCCAATGTTTGGATTAAGCTCATCAGAGGATACAGGAGAAGCGACATCTTCCTCCATGACGGGCGATGCAGAGCGAGCTGACCTGCTTGTTCTTCTTGTTTGAATTCTACTGTTGCTCTCCATCATGTACACATCCTCTACTTTGTTTTGTGACATTTTCAAATTTTTCAGCTTGGTGTTATTGAGACTGAGAAGGAAAAAGGGAAAGCAATGAGGGAAAAGGGAAAAAACAGCAAGAAAATAAATAGGAATCTGGGTGTATATGAAATCCAATGGTGCTCAACTATTTGGGCTCCCTCTTTGTAGTTCCGTGAAAAAAGTGTGTTCGTTTGTCGGTAAATATTTGAGTGCTCCTCCTGCTGCTCTTGGTATAACGCTGCTAGCAGCTCAAATGACGTCGCATCTACTCATTTATGCTGTATATAAAGTGCGATCTTTGCAAAAGCCTTTTCCGTCCTTTTCCTCCAGTTACTAATTATACAGTCCAACATGCCTACTGCTACCTCAGATCGCCTCGCCAGTCTTCGCTCCCAGATGAAGGAGCATCAGGTGGATGCCTTGTAAGTGCCTGTTCAATCCATCATCTCCATCACATTGCTCACAACCCAATGCTATAGCCTTGCTCCGTCTGAAGATGCTCATCAGGTAAGATTGAATCCTCGCATCCATGATCATGCCAATGGTGCTTATACACACGGCTTCTTCTTCAACAGAGTGAATACATTGCTGACTGTGATAAGCGTCGCCATTGGATCTCTGGATTTACTGGCTCTGCTGGTAAGTTGAATGATATGGGAGGCACCAATTAAGCTTTTCTCACGATGAAATCGTTTTAAGGTTTCGCCATTGTTACTAGCACGGAAGCAGCTTTGTTCACTGACGGCCGCTACTTTTTGCAAGCATCTCAACAGTTAGATGATAACTGGACCTTGATGAAACAAGGCCTTCCTGGCGTTCCTACCTGGCAAGAATATCTGGTCAAGGTACGCTCTCATCTACATAGACTATCAGTGCACATTGGACTCTGATGTTTTATTTTGATAGAACCTTCCTGCTGGTTCTCGTATTGGTCTTGACCCTACTCTTATCAATGCTGGTAATTTCCACATAATACCTTCCTGATCATAGATGTTCATGCCTCTTTTTAGTCGATGCTCATCAGCTTAATGTCCAACTCGAGCCTCTTGGTTCATCGTTGGTTCCTATCCATGAAAACCTGATTGATCTTGCCTGGGGTAAAGATAGACCCGAGTCACCAAAGGACAAGGTCTTTGTGCAACCCGTTCAGTTTACAGGTAAAAAGAATGAATTAGTCAACTAATGCCGAAAAAGGTAACTGACATTGGCTGACCAGGCAAATCTGTACATGACAAATTGGAGGAATTGCGTACCCACATCAAGAACAAGAAGGCATATGGCACTGTCGTATCGGCTTTGGATGAGATTGCTTGGTTGTTCAACTTGAGGGGTTCCGACATTGAGTGCAACCCTGTCTTTTTCTCCTATGCCATCGTCAATGAAACGGAGGCCATTCTATATCTGGACTTGGATAAATTGACAGATGAGGTTAAATCTCACTTGGGTTCTGCCGTAACCACTAAACCTTATAGCCAGTTCTTTGCTGACCTCAAGGCATTGAACTTGGACGGAAAGAAGTTGTTGGTCAACAACAAGACTAGTTTAGCAGTGGAAGTTGCTGTTGGAGAGGTAATTGGTTTAGGGGAGATGTAGCAATTGACATGAAAGGATCTAAATCGCCCAATTGACAGACTAATGTGTTGGAGGAGAGATCTTTCATTACTGATGCCAAGGCCATCAAGACCAAGGAAGAGTTACAAGGCATGCGCGATTGCCATCTCCGTGATGGCGCTGCTCTTGTTCATTACTTTGCTTGGCTTGAAAACAAGTTACTTGCTGGTGAAAAGCTGAGTGAAGTAGAAGCCGCTGATCGTCTGGAGCAATTCCGCGCTATCCAAGAACACTATGTTGGCCTCTCTTTTGCTACCATCTCATCCACAGGATCTAACGGTGCCATCATTCACTACAAGCCGGAACCTGAAACTTGTAAGATCATTGACCCTGATAACATCTACCTTTGTGATTCCGGAGGACAATACAAGGATGGCACCACTGACGTGACCCGCACCTTCCATTTCAAGACACCTTCTGCCTATGAAAAGAGATGCTTCACTCGTGTTCTTCAAGGCCATATTGCCATTGATGAAGCTGTGTTCCCCAAGGGCACCACTGGTTACTTGCTTGATCCATTTGCTCGTCAGCATCTCTGGAAGGATGGTTTGAACTTCTTGCACGGTACTGGTCATGGTGTTGGTTCCTTCTTGAATGTGCACGAAGGGCCTCACGGTATTGGCATTCGTCCTCACTTCAATGACACTCCTCTTGCTGCCGGCATGACAGTGACCGATGAACCTGGTTACTACGAAGATGGCAAATTCGGTATCCGTATTGAAAATGTCATTCTTGTCAAGGACGTTGAGACTCCCAATAACTTTGGTGGTCGTGGTTACTTGGGCTTTGAACATGTTACTATCGTTCCCATTGGTCTCAATTTGATTGATGTTGATCTCTTGTCTCCATCTGAGATCAAGTGGGTCAATGCTTATCATGAAGAGTGTTTGGCCAAGCTTGGTCCTCTCGTCGCTCACGATGAATTAGCAACTGCATGGCTCAAGAAGGAAACTGTTCCCATCTAAATTGCCCACCCTTGTATGCACTGTAATCTTGTATAATAAATTTCTACAGTATTGAGACATACCTTGTAATGCATTGACTTTAGAAACCTCTTGCTAATAGTTACAGCAGTAAAGCATACGTCTTTAGGCCTTTATTCGTAGATAAAGATCGTTGGTCTTGCCAGAAATACTCGTGTATAGTATCAGTGGCCCTCAAAAGCACCTATCGCTGTAAGGTTGTGCAAGTCTGCTCTGCATCCATCGACTTCTCCAGACAACAGCATGCTTCACCACACTGCCATACGTTTCAACATGTATCAATACTCCAAAAATACCGCAAACATCAACTTCTACTTCAAATTTGAATTTTACAAGATGCAGCACGTCTGACTCATTAATCACATTCTGTTTTCGCATGGTTATTTGGCGATATAACCTTTTGCTCTTCATATATAAAGAAATTTACTGCCAAATTTGGCGATTTTTAATCGCTGATATCTCCTGCTACAAGATGTTTTGAGCGCTTAGAGTAGTGCCAAACAGTTCTTCTCGACTGTCTTTTACCTACTGATACGTTATCTCGATTTTTTTTTGGGTCATGAAAAATCGATCAAATCCGCACCGCATATTACCATACTCTTCGATGTTTTAACGACAGAACTTGAAGTTTTCTACACTCAGTTTAGTGGTTGAATCAACGAGGGTCAGCTTAAATAAAAAATAAAAAAAAAGTTTGGTTGTAAATTTTTGGGCACAATCCCCTCCAATCTCCCCTGGCATTTTGATTTTTTCTGCTTGCATTTTGAGTTTTTTTTTGCCTACTTTATACTTCACTTTCGCCTACGTCGTTTCATTTTGGCCAAACTTCTGGCTTGCTGATGCCTACATTTATTTTCTTTATTTAATCAATTTTGCGTGTATTTCTAAGCTGCTACATATGGTGGTCCTCGTTGGCATCAGCAGTGATATCTACATAGAGGCTCTGACGTTTGTTTACTTGAGATAATTACCAAACCAAAGCTGCTACATACATTACCATAGGCAGAAACAGTTAAACAGCCATCCGTTTCTAAAAATATCCGAAAATGAGGAAAGTAATCTAATTATAATCGACATTTGACGCCATTCAAATTAATTGTGTTCCACAGACCCTGTAATTTGTCCTCAATATTTGTCTGATGAGGTGCTTGTTCTCGAAAACCTTTTTTCTCTTTCTCTATAAACAAATATCACCATGAGTAGCATCGAAGACGCAAAGCTTCTTAAGCAATTGAAGAAGCAAGAACTTAAAAAGCTGGACAGAATGAAGCGAATCCAGAACGGAACTGCAACTACACATGACAGAAGGTTGTATAAAAAAGAACGTGACGCCATGAAGCGCAGACTTGCAGAGCAAGAAGCAGAGAACGTTGCCAAGAGAAGTAGAAGTAGAAGCAATGGCAGTGGATCTGCAGATGAAATGTACGCACGACTTGAAGAGGCACGACAACAAATGGATGAAGATGCTGATGAGTTTGGTATGTGGGTGGACGACGACAGTCAGGATCATCCAGCTCCAGTTGAACGTGTAGAACGAGTTCACAATCGTAACTTCAACCCGAAGAAGCAAAGAAAGCAGTTCTGGGCGGAAGGCAGTGAAGCATTGCTCACTGCATTCATCGAGTCTTTCAAGAGGTGTGGCGAGCCCGACTTTAGACTCGAGAAGCCCTTGGAAATGGAGAAGCCTGCTAGTTGCAACTGCTCAATCAGACGCACCTCTGACTTGACTGGATTCATGTTTGGTGGTAATTGATCGTACAAAATTAAGCTTTTCATTTTTTATTGATTAAATTGCTGTTTTAGGACCTTCGAAGTTCTCGGTGGCATACTGTGATCATCAATCTCTTTTGGAAACCCTTGTGCTCTGTCAGATGCTCCCAACTTCCACTCAACAACCAAAATCGGCAATCCATTTCTCAGTTTTTGAGTATGGTAACATTGCCAAGCTAGATGGCTATGTTTCCAACCATGGATTCACCAAAATCTACAATTCTTGGTGTTTGCAACGAGGTGGATTCAGCAAGGACGTAAGTCTACCCCTTGGTAGTATGATGTCCGCTTACATGTATTCTTTGATTGTAGTTCATTTCGATGGATGCCTCTGTATATAACATGCTTCAAGTGATTTACAGAAATGTTCATAAGCATGCAATGGATCGTCTGCGTGAAGAGAATTCGTTGGCTTTGCAAGTAGGTTGCTATGCTTGCCATGTAAGTTACATGATTATCGTATGCAACTTAGAAAAGCCTGGAGCATCTCTCTAAACAAAAATGATAGGGTGCTGAACGCAAGTTTGTGTCCATGGATGGTAATTTTTCGTGGAGAAGACGCAAAGATCGCAACTCTAGCAAGAACAACTGGGAGCAGGGCATCTTTGCTCCGTCAAGAGCAGAGAGTGCCTTGGTGGCACCTCCTGAGGAAGTTGAGCGGTTCAATGATCACACTGAGGTCACTGACGAAGAGGTACCTGAAAGATTAATATATGAGGCACTTTTTAATAACAATTATGTCAAATCAGTGCTTACTTCGAGATCTTGACAGTGACTTCAAGGCCGGTGTTGACCATAGACGACAAAATGGCAACCGATTTGATGAGTGTGGTGTGTTCTCTTTGAACTGTGCCAGACATGGTATTGTCGAGCGTATCTTTGACATCTTTGGTGGCGAAGGGTAAATCAACAAGGAAAGATGCGACCTAAGAAAAGCTAACATCATAATTTGTAGACGCAAGTACGCTTTGGCTGCAATCAGTCATGTGGTTGATAACTTGGGAGACCAAGAAAAGCTGGCTGTCTTGTATGACATCGTTTGCATGTGCCAAAAAAGAATAGAGGTAAGCATTCAGCTTGTTCACTACTCATAATCTTAAATGCCTTGTTTGATTTAGGAGTCTGTCCCTCTCATAAATAGACATGACCCCATCTATGGCGTAGCCATTTTCCATGCTTTGGCTCACAGCCTCAACTGCCAAGTCAAATACTTTCCAAGATATGTGAAGGGTATGGCTCTCACAGGTAAGCGACTATGAATTTCTCTGTGAACTGTAAGACTGTTATTAATTCATCCAATTTATAGATGGCGAATCTGTTGAAAGAGTGTGGTCCCACTGCAATCATTTTGTAAGCATGTCTCGCAATATGAGCAAGGCCAACCGACACGCTCTTTTGACACAGGTCTTGGACAAGTATAGAAGTGACAAGATAGATTCTTTGGGTAAGGACCTCGCATATGTTGACGGACGGAGACTGACATAGCTGTCATTCTAGCCTCTTACATCAACAGAAAGTACAAGAAGGTGCTTACAAAAATGCGTCTTCTCAACATGTCGATAGCAGAGTACAAGAATTTGGAGCAGGAGTGGCTCAAACATGCAGATAATCTCTGTATTTTTCCTGATTTTTCTGGCCTGGAACAGATTCAAAACAGTGCTGAGAGAGTGGAAGCTTTGCGTAACGCAAAGGTACACTATCTGATTTTGGTTGCTCAGCATATGACGCTCATCAACAAGGAGACAAAGAGGTAAGCTTTTAATCAGTAGAGAATTACAGATCTAACCTTGTTGTGCTTGCAGCAAATTTACTGGGTATCATGTTGAGCACTTGAGAAAGACCTTGCTTGTCAAGATCCAACTCATGGAGCGCCAATTTGAGTTCTTGCCTGTCAACAGGCCCAAAAATTTCAAGGATCCTCTGTTTGGCGAGTATCATGTCCAAGTCAAAGACTGCAGATATGATGCTCTAAACAATTACCTTACTCACCTCCTCTTTGCCATTGTCATGAGAGAGAAAAAGCTGCATCAACCTGCAGGCTCCTCTGGTAAGTCTTATCCAAGTTTCGGAATGGCTGGCAAGGGTCTAATGAACAATCTATGTAGGAACTGCCAAGGCAGCCCGTATTGTAATCTCTCTTGAAGCATTGCACCGGCTAACCGAAAAAGTCATTAGTCGCATCAACGCTTTAGTGTTAAAGTATTTTGGTAATATAAGCAATTGAGTGGTTAGGATTTTGTACTCAACAATATTCGCATTAGATGGTGCTGAAGACAAGATGAAGATGACCGTTGGCAGGGAAGTTGAAAAGCTGAGAACTTCAGCTCAAGGTGAGAACATCTTGGGACTGTCGGATGCCCTGGCAAACTGGCATCTTCTGAACAGACACGTCGAGGAGGCAACACTGTTAATTGTAAGGCCATCAGATGAAGCCACCACTTGAATCGTGTGCTCACCAAATCCAAACAATAGGAGGAATCAAATAGGTTTGTCTCCAACCTTACGAAGGAGTATGATGAGATGGAGAGGGCTTTGAGAAGCCAAGAGAGCCATTTGCTGAGAAGGCAATTCCTTCAAACTTGTCGCCGGCTCTACGTAGCCAAGAAGACCTTGCAGCAGGTCAGAAACCAGGTCCAACCTACCATCAGTCTTACACCAACCCCAGATGGCTCAACCAACGATCTGGTGGTCATTGAATATCAGCAGTTTGAGTTGCTCAATGAAGGTGATGCTGTCGCTGAAGAAGATAGCGAAGATGATGATTTCGCGGAAGGTGGCGATGATGAAGAAGACCTACAGGAAGTCTTACGGGAGATCGGGGATGCGTCATTGGGTAGGTAGAGCATTTTCCTTTTTTCCAATCCATTAGACTTTTCTTTTTCTTTCATTTACTTTATAAATTTCCCAAAAGCTGTATGTTATTACCAAAAAAGGCTATACTTGATCTATTTTTGATAGATGATTGCCTTCACCAAGACGAAAAGAGCGATTGGTCAATGTTACTACAGGAGAAGGGTTGCTGAAATTTAGAAATCTTCTTTTTCTCTACTGATTTTTTTTTGTCTGGTAAGTCCAGTTGCATACGTTTGCAGTAAGACCTAGCCCATGTGTTCTCGGTTTAAATCAAGGAATGAGATGGATCGCTTTCCTATTATTGTCAACTGCCTGATTCTATGATATGACAGAGCTATTGCCATTTTTATTTAAGACGG